CATAGTATTATAGGATTTACAATTTAATATCTAATAAGTATCCGTTCGATTATATAATCAATACTACTTTATTTCACTACTACAGCTGATGCAAGCTTAGATGCTCAGCTTCTCCTACTTGACATCCCTTGGTTGGCAAGAAGAACCTTGTCAATTTTGTTGTGTAACTCATTCAAACTATCCATTAATCGGTCATGGTTAATTTTGATTGATTCCACGCTTGCACCTATTTTATGCATTTTATGCTGTGCTCCTTCCATGTAAGCCTGGCTCTGACTTTTGTGATACGCATCATACAGTATCTTAATTAGGCAAATTGCAAATATGATAACTGCGGAAACAAGGGGTCTATCGGCCATTTCATCAAATAGAAATGATACGTTAGAAATTTTGTTTGCAACTGTCCATAGAATATGCTTACACCACAATGGACCAAAGTACATGTAACATATAAGTGTAAAAGAAAGGGTCATAAGACCAGTAGTGACGGAGAATATTCGTGCTGCTATATACCCAAGAATTAACCAGGTAAAAAATAATACTCTGTCATCAATATTGTGATTTGGTATGTTTGTATCTCTCCAATAGTGACCTTTACCTTGGATGAAAAGTAGAATGCAATTACTTTATATTATTCATTTAATTCTCTTACAGCTTTTGACTCCTGTATACTCGTATACAGGTATTGTATTAATGAATATAACATCAAGCAAAACTGCAATAATTTATAATCTAGATGATAAAAGTTTTTAGCCCATTGGTCTGTTCTATACTGTCCATACTATACAAGCAATGATGATTAAATTATCTCTTAAAGTACCTTGCATATGCCAGTTTTTTTTATTATACAAATCATGCACTTGCTAAGATATCTCACCGATTTTCTCTTGTTGCTCGTAAACAAGGTTCAATAAATTCTGGTATGAGTCATGCACTGCATTTAGGGCACGTTTGATATACGCTTGGACGGTATTTTCATTGTCATAACCGTAGGTGTCGGCAGTAGAATATTGAATATAAATTATTAGGCAGAAGAACATCAGACAGGCAGAAATTGATCCCATCGCCGTAATCGCATCGGTTACAAATTCTAAATAGAATACATAATACGCGTAAGATTCATGAAGGAAGCTTCTACAGCGTACGGAATGAAATACATGATGTAAATTACGCCTAAAAATAATAGTACATGTTTTAGAATGATAACTAGTGCATGACGTCTCGAGAACGGCGTATCGAGTGTTTTACATACTCGTATAGAGTTTCTAATTTTAAGAAGTACAAAACGGAAGAATTTCAATAATAACTAAGGCTTATCGCATTGTTTTAGCAGTTAACTGTAGTGAATTTTACCGTTGGTTATCTCAAATTCATAAACTGTGTAATAATAAAATCTGAGTAAATGCACCATAAATGAATAATAAAAACAAGCCTGTTAATTTATAGTGCATATGAACCATATACGCGTATTGTATTGAAGTTTCAAATATGCATACAGTGTAGTCAAGCATTTATATATGCGCAAGGACATGTGTTGTACTGTATTTATTTTTACCCTGATTCTGTTTTAGGACGCCAATTTTAACATCGCTTTGCTATAACATTATCAAAAGTTGGAGACTGAAAGTACAGTACAGTATTGCTAACGTAATTACTTACCAGCTCTTCTCTGCGCAAAATGAGTAAAATAATGCAAAGAGCGTAGTGCCTCACTTAGCTACTGTATGTACTGTACTGTATAGCAATATTTCTGCATCTTTTACTTATTTACTCGATTGTATTATACTGTACATATATGTATACTGTATATATATATTCTGAAATCTAGCTCATTCTACTCCGCATAGAAATTGAAGAAATTTTCCCCCATTACGTAATTGATTTTTAATCACGACTACGTGTATTGCCATACTGTCCATACAGTACATAGTTCTTTAAAAGAGTCTGGAATATCGATCACTAAAAGTGTGAAAATTATAAAAAATATCTGTATGAGACAAATTCTATACAGGTGGATAAGTTGCTGTAAGACAAGTCTTTTGCAAATTAGAAAGCCTTTATGCAGAAGTACGAGTCCTACCACCGTCGTATTGCAGTCGTAGGTTGTTGTGTTGGTAAGTACTGTACGATGTTGTCGATTATCACCTACACGATATAAATTGAACTTGCTCCTTGGATTGATTTCAGATTAACATGACGCAATTTCAATTGGGAACTTCCATGTTGAATCCCATCATCATTTCATGGAAAGATTCAGCTAGATATTGAGCTTTGCTGATTCTGTCATGCGCATTAGTCCATTCTAATGCAGTACAGTGTACAGTGTACACTGTACAGTACAGTATACCGTACTCATCCAACCACCTACTGTACAGTACTGTACTGTACAGTACGTTATAAACAAGCAGCGCGCGGGGTATTTATACTACTGTTCGATGACTCTGATTATGGGTTCATTTCAATAGGTCAGTATAAGATTCTTACAGTACTTTTTACCTCCAGATTTCTTCATGTAAAACGAATAGCTTTAAGGTAGTTATTTCTGCAGAGTACTGATTTTTAAAATAGTATTCATTATATCGCTAAAGGTGGCCACTGGACCTTTCAATTTTGATTTGATGTAATATTCTGATGGAAATTGAATAAACATAAAATCTTTATAGAGTTTTCTACACAGCCATTTTGATTGTTACATTTTCTTCTAACGGTTGTTATCGACAGAGCAAGCTTTGCTTGCATGCGCAAGCGATCCTTAGACACATTATAATAATTGGTATAGAATTGATCACAGTACTAAGGACATTGTACCGCACTGTACAGTACAGTACTGTAGATATCTTACAGTACCTGCAAACCTTAACTTGGTACTGTACAGTATGTCGATCGCCGTACATTAGTTATCATAATGTACTTTGGACCATCAACTAATCTTAATATAGCATTTCATAGCATTTCATCCGTTAATGCATTATTGAAAAGTAGCATTTTATAAGCATAGCTGTGAATATAGTAGTGCCTGGCTATTACCGGGATGTATATAATGTCGAATGGTAATGCTATCTGTTAATTATTAACAAATGGCTACATTATCGTAAACCGTCAGCAAAGCGACACGAGTTTGTACTAGTTAATTAATTAATTGTTTGCAGTATCATCAAGTTTCATACAGTACTGTACCCAGTGTATCGTAGATCAAGTTCCATTTTGTCGTTCAGGGTCGGATCAGTTTTTTGGAAAAGAAGCATTTTTGAGTCCGATTTCCGAGTGAGAAATAGCATTTATTACGGACCCTTAGTGTAGAGTTGATGTCAGATTAAAAGACTGTAATTGTACGTTAGTTTTACAGTAGTCAGAATTGTTCATTTTAAATATCAGAAAAGAAAATACAGTCCGATCTTGTCCGTCTGAAAACGAAATAAACCACAGAGTTATAGTACAGTGTACTGTACTGTAGGCTCCTTGATTGTGACTGTACACTGTACAATGTACAGTACACGCAGTATCATACCAAAACATCACTACGTCATCTGGCGTCAGAGACGCCAGCAAAGCGTAAATTAGACTAGTACACAGTATAGCCAGACTGCTACTCATCATACACTATATTACGTATACGACCCTGACGAGTCGACTCAACACAGTGTTATTTTGCGCTATTTCAGCTTACTACGCTAAGCGTCTTGAAGGTCTCCGATCTTGGCCAATGCGAAAGGATTGGCTGGGACATTAAATTATGATTTCATTAATTTGCCTTCGATTTGAATTAGAAGACGGCCACTTAATTCCTTCAGATTTATCGTATACAGGTTATAGATCTTAATTCTGCTAATAAATCAATGTTACAATAGTTTTTTGGACTGTGTATTGAGGAGAGAATCAATCATAGCTTAATGTTGTTATCCTTCGGCGATGAAATTGCCTATTGGGTTAGCGCTTTTGGTGATAGATAGGCACAAACTCCATTTGTAAAATTTCATCAGATAGACCAAAATTTTGAACTTGATAGTTGCTTTAGTTGAACAATACTACTGTAGGCTTGATAAGGTTATTAGGTCATATCATTCATTCAATGTACGATGCTGTATGTAAGTGAAGGTATATGGATTATATTACGGATTAGGTCCTACGCGGATATTACAAGAAAGTTGCAGTAGAAATCATAACGCGAGCAATAACGACAGCAGAGATCGTAGTCTATCAGCTCGTGAAAAAAGCAAACATTTAGCCGCAGAGATTATGAACAAGCCGGACAATGCATCTGCTGATGCTCGAAATATACAAAAAAATAAGAGAAGTATGGCTGTCCATCTTGGTAAACGAGAAGCAAGACAATTACAAATTGAAACCATTACAAGCAAAGATCATGCTGGAGGTAGAGGCGTTAACTTTAGAAATTCTTTATTTTATTTCGCCTAAATTGTATCGTCCCAAACTTTTAAATAGTCATTGCTAATGCAATAGAATCTGCAATACCATAGCGGTAGTCAAGGGTATTATCTACGACGGCTATAGCTATAAAGTACTGTAAACAAGTAAAGGCGGACTGGAAAGCCAAGTTATGCTTGAAATCGCAATGATAGACTAATACAGTCACTCACTATACGAGTAATATCTTTAGCGGCTTTTGAGTTAAACCTGGTAGCATTGTCCTACTACTCTATACGTAAATTGTTTGGCAGTCGAAGATCGTTCAAGTGCTCTAGAAACATTTGAGAAGCCATTCTAAAGACGTAGATTGGAACTACTTAATCAGATCTCGTAGTTAAAAAGTCTCAACTGATACATACCTCGCTGATCTCCAACTGTAAATTTACATTCTCGCTATTGTTTACATCTACCACATTGCAGTTGGATTAATTGAAAGTTCGCTGCAAAAACACTAAAACTTTAAGCGTTATGTGGTATTTTAGCACTTAATTTACTATTATTATTACCCTTTACGTGGTCCTTCAGTGGCTACGACTAGTACAAAGGTTACCAATGCAAATGATGCAGCTGGGCTAAATTCAGATTTACCTTTCTTATCTGGCAATCCAAATGTTGAGGTAACGGAAGGTATCATCCATCTATTCAAAGAGAAGTAAGTCTCTATCGAATAAGAATTAGGCTTGTACTTGTGTAAATTTGAAATATATTGGTATTATCCTTGCCATTAACTATAGCTGCTCTTTTATTCCCATCAATTAGTCAGATGACTTCTTTAGAAGAGAATGTCTTACGAAGTGAAATGTTATGTATGCTTGCAGTACCAGCTACAATGTCGTGCAATGATTTGATACAATTTGCAGCTCCGTATAGGTTTGTGTCTTAAATTGCTGTAAAATCATTATTTCCGAAACTTGTAAGATCGCACTGCTTCATTGACGTGCAAAAGTATGGCTTTGTGTGTATGGTACTACTTTATGGATATTCAACATCAATTTATTTTGGTGTCAACTGCACAACTAGCTTACATTAAATTCTAACCTGGATCATTTTCATTGAATTAAAAACTTAGTCCAAATATCGAACATATCAAAATTATTAGAGACTCTACCCCAAACGAATATATGGTGTTGATAAAATTTAAAGATCAGGTTACAAGTTTCATTTGATAGCTTTTTACTGTAATATTTGACAGTTAGCTAACATGAAAAATTATTGGTATCATGTTGTAGACTTGTTCTGATGAATTTTTTAAGCTTTATAATGGACGTACCTATCATTCTTTAGAAGATAAGGTATATAAGCCTATGCGAGGCGTAATACTATGTATCATGGATTAGGAGATTGTTTATGGAATAAATACGCATAGCTACATATTGAATTTAGTAATGTTTGATTATGTTGTGTACACTAAAATTAATACTTCATTCAATAGATTTGTCATCTGGTATACGTATCGTTGGTGGAAACTATGACTTCTACAGAGGTGTTGTGATTGCAAAGTTCTATATCAACATTGGTATCTTGTAAGGATTATGCTATTATGCTAATAATTTGATTGGTTGTAATCGTAATAGGGTGCTAGCTTTCCAATACCTGGATTAACAGAGCTACCAAATTGTCCTGTTTGTCTGGAGAGAATGGTGCTCATAAAATTTTACAGTTAATCAGTATTTCATCTGTATTCTCTCGGTTAACTTACACTTTCGGATTCGAAATATGCCAGGATGAATCTGTGGAAGGCATTCTGACCATCTTGTGCAATCATACCTTTCACATCAACTGCCTCACACAGTGGGGTGACTCCAGGTTAGTCATGTGCATGCAGACTTGGAAATTTAAAAAGTGATTATCTTGACATTGATGTAAAATAAAATTTGTATTATATTGTTGCAGCTGTCCTGTATGTCGCTATTGCCAATCACCTGAAGTTGAAACTGAGAGTATTTGTTTTGAATGTGATGACCAAAACGTTAGTCTAAAGTAATTTTAAACGTAGTGTATTATCCAGTACGCCTAAGGTGCAATTTAATTTTTCTTAACTGTTTCTGAAAGTGTCAAGAAAATTCAACGTAGTGGTTTGTTTTACGTTTATACAACTAATGGTAATTATATAATTTGCGTTCATAGGACTTATGGATATGCATGATATGTGGTAATATTGGTTGTGGGCGATACTCTGCAGGCCATGCTTATAGGTAATATGGCATTAGCTATCAGAGTGGATTAAACTAAAGTAGTTTCTTTACTTAAATTTCACTATGGCCTGTAAGACGACTGCAATTACATCGTAGTGATGGAATCGATCCAAAATTAATCGCACTCATTTCTATTTTCAGCCATTTTCAGTCAACTGAGCATGCTTATGCTATGAAATTAGATAACAATAGAGTTTGGGACTACACCGGTGATAATTATGTTCACAGACTGGTCCAAAATAAAAGTGATGGCAAGCCAGTTGCTATTTCTAATAATGATGTGTTTGTATGTTGGATACATTACTACCCATAAATGAACTGCTTAATGGAATTACCGTAATAATTTGCGGGCTTTAAATTACAATCTGATGCATTAATAAGATATGATGCCTTTATTGATTTACTACTGTATTAGGCCGATGATGAAGATAAAAGAGATTCTTTGGCATTAGAGGTAAATAGTGCTGCTGTAGTAGTGTCGATACATTTACCTTTGCAAACCTTTAACCTTCGTATTGGCTGCTTCTTTTGGTAGTTTACGTACTTACTTACGCAGCAATTAGAATCTCAGCGTCGATACTATGAGTCTAAGATTTTATCTCTAGAAGGAGAAACGGCTAAAAAGGTATTAAAATCCTATAGTTCTCGCAGGATTACTTTGCATTTTTATTTCTTGTAAACTAATAACAACGCTAGCTGATGTTTATTTCATATCATATCATTTCACTTAGTTAAGTCTTCGTGAAGAGGAGGTGCAACTGCTGAAGAAATCTATGTCTGTTTTGCAGCAAGAGCACACTAGTACTGTTCAACAGCGTCAGAATCTAGAAAATAAATCACTTTCGGTAAATTCTGTTACAGTAAATAAGAGAATATTACTGTAATAGTACTTTGCATATTTCGTAACTACGTGTAATACCTATGATGTTATTCAGATAGGAAACAAATTAAAGAAACTTGCCAAAGAACTGGATGAAGAGAAGGAGGTTTGTACTACTAACAATTTACGCTACTTTAGTCTTTAGTCATATCTATGAAGGCACCCACGCAAGAAGTTTACTTTCCACATCTTAGATGAATAAATGTATGCGGGATAATCAAGCACAGTTAATGGAACGCTTGCAGTCTAGCGATGAGAACTGGAAAAAAAAAGAAAAAGAGCATCTTCAGGTCTCGTATTTCTAAAAAATTTGATTTTAATATATGTATATATATATCTAATAAAAATTTTAATGATACCGCGAAGCGTTGACTAGTAAGTGAAATTAGTCCCTGTGTTTTATTAGAAAATAAACGATTTGCAAGATCAGTTACGGGATGTAATGTTCTATCTTGATGCGCAGAAGAAGGTATCGCAATCACCAGCAGAAGCGCAGAAAGTATGTTTATAACCCGCAATGTCGTCACTATTTCATTTGCAACTTTTGAACTGAGCCTCATAGCAAAAATTAAAAAAATTTAATTCCCTTATAGGATATTCAGGATGGAAATATAAGTGTAGGTGCTGCTGGGTGCTCCGCGACTTCAGCTAGCAACCCTAGCCATGCCCGAAAGTCACGAAAAAAGAGGAAATGATGTTACTATTTCGATGTAAAGAATTCCATCTAAATTTTATTTCAGCTATTGATTACGAATTCTTGTGTCCTATTCATTAATATGAAAAATTAGCAAAGAAATCAATGATTTTGTACATAACTTGACTTTAATTCTTGTTTATTCTACTGTATATTTGAGGCCATCCATTACTTATGTTAGAATATTTCCATGATAAATTTTGCTGTGTGTTGACAAATTTGTTATTCAATGCATCGTAACATTCGTTATATTTTGATACAACTATGGAAATGGCTTATAATAGAAGAATTTATAAATAGCAGTAGATTATCGAGCTGCATTGCAAACAGTAATTTATTTAACTTCGGCTTTGATTAATCCATTACGCAATATAATATCATGTAAAGTGAGCCAGTTGATGTTGTTTTTTGTAGACGACATCGATGAGTATCTATTAGATCAATTAATAACTTCAGTGTCTATGACTATAGTATAATGTACAGTATATACAAGCATAAGCCCATGCAAGCTACTGAGTTCACTAACTAATTAAACGAGACTATGCAGTAACGTAGATATCATTTCCTAACTGCAAATACGCCATTAATTAATTTATATATTTATTTAAGAATTTCAACAGACGTAACATCAATTAAAGGAAGATCTTTAATAATCGTTTATAAGTTGTCAGTGAATTCGTGCTGGTTATTGTAAATTTGCAATCCTGATACTTTGGGGCTAAATTCAAAATTATTATAACATCTTAAGTTCAAGATTCAGTGCGTATTACTTAAGGACTTCAATTTAGATGGGGAAAATATTTATTAAGAATCTACCAGATTTTTATCAGTCGGTAGGATAAGGATACTTTATTGTGCAAATGTTAATACATACAGCTCCAACTTACAAGAAAGCGAAATTACGTTTTACCACCTGTCTTAGAGATTGCTATCGAAAGTTAGTATATCTGATCTAAAAGGTGAAAATAATCCATACATTTGCTGTCATTGCGGTACTATCATGGCTATAATTTGTAGACGTATTGATTCATTAGGTTTTGGATATTTTGAGTGAAAACTCATTTCTTTCAAGAATAAAACAAAAATTGCAAGCGGAAGAACTTATTACCTCCTTTTGCAGTTGAAGTAAGCTACCGAAGTATATAACTTTTCGGTAAAAATGCAACAGTCATCTCGATCAAAGAAGCAAGATGTTTGCTTGGTTTCAATTGCCTTATACAGTTGTTTCTATATCAATTTTTTTGGTTAATAATTAATCCTAGTGGATAAGTGATAGATCAATCACTAGAGCATTATGCTGTATGTTGTTACACGCGTAGAAGAGGCCATGAAATGCTTTAATGATAAAGATGTTCAAAGAGCCATGACAGCCCAACCGATGATCATCATGGTACCACCAAAAGGCGCCAATCGACCATAAGATCTTTTTTCAGCCAAAGCGGCGATATAACAACTGCCACTAAATACTACCATACCAGCCAGTAGCAAACTTCCAGCCATATCAGCACGGTTTACATTAGCTCGAGAAAGTGCAAGCAGAGCGATTGAATGAAACATATGATATCGATTACCATTAGACCATATTTCCTTGTATTCCTGCTTACATTTCAACCCTTAAATAAAATCATCGGATAAGTACTACGTCTATTTTAAAAGGTCGGTCTCAATTTACTGGCATATAAGCAGATAAACTCATTTACGAGTCACTTTTTTAATATTTTTAGTAATCATATTACAGTATAGTAATCGTTATGTCAAGATACGCATAGTAGTACTTGTACCCATGACAAGTGATTTAGCAAATCATTTTTTATTTTTAATGAGGATTAAACCAAAAGTGTACAGTACATAGTCTAATTTAAAAAAATTAATTTAGCGATATGTTTCATGTTCAATGTTGGATACAAAATTTTAGATCAATATGGAGAATAAAGTTGAAGTATTTCTATATTTCTTATTCTTGATATTTAACTCATGAGTTTGCTATGATAGATTAGGTAGATTAATGATTTTGTAGTGCTTGGCTTTTACAACCCCTTCGGTTTGTAATCGTCTAACTCAACATTGAAGCTATTCAAATTGAGCAAATTTCTAACGTGACACAAGATTAATTAGCTGAAACTACTACAGATCTGTTGGATGTTATTGCAGTTGCTATTTGTTGATGTGCAATTCTAAACCTAATACTACAGTTGAAATGCAGTGATGTCTAGGACAGCACAACACATCGCTGAATATTCAACTCTTCAATCATTCACTTTGATTATTCTTAATACGATATCCCGACATAATATTCACTAGACTAGTTTCACCCTACATGGCAATAATACTGTACCGTGTGCACCATAAGCTCCTAACGCGACAGCTAGAGCTCCGGAAATTCCAGCAATTTTGGAAAAGGCACTTTGATTGATCATGATCCTTTATTCAGATCGATTGCAATCTTTCCTTGAATACTCCTTTGCACCTTTTTGGGGGGCAATATAAGTTAGTCAACGAAGGCAGAGATTACCAGGTGCCTTATTTGGATTGATTGGGCTGTTATTCAAGACAGGGCTAAACCAGTACTGTACAGTGTACAGTACTGTATAGTAGCGTAGCCGGCTTAAGGTCTCTCGTATGATAATACAGTATACTGTAATGCATACTGTACACTGTACACTGTACTGTACAGTACTGTACTATACTGTACAGTACACTATACTGTACAGTATGTACTATACACTGTACAGTACTGTACTTATTGGCCAGGGATCTGCACCATTCGGAAAGGTCAATCCGAAATCAAAATAGCCATTGGACTTTGGTAGTCTATGCAATTGGGTATCGGCATAATTATGAAGCACATTTCTACAGATGATGTGATAGTTTAGGCTATCCGAAATCAGAATAGGCATTGGAGTTTAGTAGTCTATGCATCGGAGTTTAGTAGTCCATGAAATCGGGTATCGACATAATTATGAAGCACATTTCTACAGATGATGTGATAGTTTAGGTTATCCGAAATCAGAATAGGCATTGGAGTTAAGTTGTCTATGCATTGGAGTTTCGTAATCTATGCAATTGGATATCAGCATAATTATGAAGCACATTTCTACAGATGATGTGATAGTTTAGGTTATCTAAAATCAGAATAGGCATTGGAGTTTAGTAGTCTATGTATTGGAGTTTCGTAATCTATGCAATTGGGTATCGGCATAATTATGAAGCACATTTCTACAGATGATGTGATAGTTTAGGTTATCCGAAATCAGAATAGGCATTGGAGTTTAGTAGTCTATGCAATTGGGTATCGGCATAATTATGAAATCAAATCAAATCAGCACTTGCTGACTATTTAGTTAATATCGCACACATTAACTTGAAAGATGAGTAAATAAAGGCCTGTTTACTGCTCAATTAATATGCGTTACAAGGTATCTTCAAAATAATAAAACAAGAACTACAGTTTCTTGTAAATTATTACATAAATAAGGTAGTTCGCCTTACAACGACCAAATTGTAATCTTAAGCTAATTTGGTGCTGCATTTTCATATAATACACTGCAAAACTTACAAGGTGAATAAATCACGGGCACTATTAGTATTCAGTTGGATGATTACTCGGTTCTATTCAACTTAAATTTCATCACAGTTTATATTCTGATCTGCCATAACTATCGACTCTGCCTTACACAATCTCATCTTCCAGTAAAGCATGTCTATTTTTTCCAACAAATATTTTACACGCCTGCAGTAATTGGCTATGTAACCTGCTTTCGATATTGCATTTCCTTCCCTTATCAGACGGCCAATTTAATCAATCAGTACAATAAGCGCAATTTTTCATACTATACTTTATTACTCTCCGATGAAAGTTTACTGTATATCTCACGTCGTCACTGGGTATTTTTACGATATACTACGTTACAGTTATCAAAAATGAAAAACGTCAAAGCGATTGCATTAGTCAAAATGAAATGCTATAACAACATTGAATCTAAAACTTAACATCAAACATTTACTACTTATTTCATTAAATAATTATTATCATATGCGTAGTCATAAAATCAAAATTTTCGAAATACAGACATCGTCTCTATTCATGCTATTTAATCTATTTTTAATTCATAATATCGTACGCATCTTTAGTTCATATTAATTAACTATTATAAATAACACCAGAATAGAAGATTAAAATGAAAGGCAACTCAGATATTATACTTAATAAGACTGATATTCCCTTTGCAGTACCGTTGCTTACTATCAGTTGTACTAAATTTGCTACTGTTGTATCATAAGCTAAGATCATAGAGTAAAATCAGCACTTATGTGTATTCATGTCTTCGTTGTAAAATTAGGTGCGTGCGAAGGCAAATACCCTCAGTTCCGAATTATATTATGGTTACGTTGCACAACTTCAGGATTAATGAGATTACAAATAATTTGTGGAAGGCTTCGATTGAAATTATTTCTTGACGCTAAGCCAATCCAATACATACGGAGCAAAATAGGTAATGATAATATCGGCACCTATATGTCAGTTATCAAGTTATCATAAATTTAATAGATAGTAACTAGACCTCATATTTTATAAATATCTTAACTATTTTAAAATAAATTAAACTTTATTAGTAATCATTAAAGTAACGATAGAACAACCTGCTCTTCGTAAGCCTGTCATAACTTCTAAAACGCCATCATCTAAATTGTAAAGGCCTTCTTCAGCACCTTTTAATAGCATCGCGTATTCACCTGAGACCTTATGTATTTCAAATAACAAGACATTAATTATACCCCATAGATTAACTAGAGTAATACACTTTCTTTTTAAATTTTAAATAATAAGATAGTATTAGCAGTTGCTTACCTGATACACAGCTAGCGGTATATCCGGAAACTGCCGTATAATTAGGACAATGATCGAAATTATTAAAAGATTGTATGCGTGCATGTGTAATTCATAAATTTAATGTTAATGTACTGATTATATTGAGATCGTAACGTACATTGCTAGATATAAATGCTTATATTAAGAAGATCTTTGCCTTAACAATTGACAAATATCCGATTAGTTACCATTGTTTTGGCATCGCGTAGAATATCTGTGTAGGCAAAGCTAGGTTTCACCATGAGCATATCTGCCCCTTCATCTATATCTCGTTTCTAGTTAAAGCGAAACTAATTTAGTTATGGGATATCATCGCGACGATTAAATATAAGGTTATATTCGCAATTGAGCAAATAATACTTGGGAGAAGAATTTGTATGACCTACCAAGGCACGATGTGCTATCCCACTTGAAGCTGGTGGTAAGTGATACATTTTCTTGTCCTGCTTTGGTAAGCAACTCTTAGTTGCCTCCCTAGAGTTTGAATAACACATTACTATAGTAGAAGATTATTAAAGCTAGATGTAAGCTACATTAAGAGCTTTATTGATACTTTATGAAATGGCAAAGTTATAAATTATCAAGATTTATTACTGGGAATATTAATATTACATTAACACGATATAAAACTGAATATGAGAAATGTGACATTAATAATTCAGGTACTGTTCTCTTTTAATTAGATGTTAATCATTTGATATTTACAGGAAGGGGCCATAAAAGAATGATCTAAATTTTGCGGAGTAGCTAAGGACAGGAATCTATAAAAATAAATTTCACTCTTCATTTACAAGATTGAAATAAGTTGATGCTTACTTTGCTTAAATGAAAGATGATACGTTTAAGATAAGAAAATCTTGATATGTTGTTATCATCATCAGATATTTCGAATATTAATTAAAATTATGCTATTACAGCTTACATTTTTACCGATATCCTCTATGTTGTCGCCGTTAAATTTAAAGATAATTGAAGTAAATTTATGTTTCACTAGAGTAGATTCTTGATTAATGACCTCGTTACTGGCATAACTATCGTAGTAGGATAAACAAATCAATTTATGCAAACCTTGTTGCCAAAACCGTTCTCCTTCAAAGCTGATTTAATTGCAGCAACTCTTCCATCCATCATGGAAGATGGAGCAATGACATCGCAACCTAATAATGATAGTACATTTTATCTTTTGATTGGTACTTTATGAAAAATTTGCACGTTATGCAACGTTAAAAGATAGAAATGCTTTTACTTTAGCGTTATAACGCCTAGTATATCGAATTTTGAATATTTTGCAGCACTTACAAATAGTATCACATTGTTATAGAATTACGCTATACTGTGATATACTATATTCATTGTAATCGATCATAGATAACATGAAAGATCGAAATTATATCTCAACGAGATGATTAAAATTTCCGGGTTAGATGAAATAACGATAGAGTGTTTATTTCCGTATTGATATGCACTCAGTTTTCTACCTGCTTTCGCAAAATTAACAGAAATTTCAGCAAGTCTTTTTACTGAAGCATCTATGTCGATATCGCCATTGTCACAGCAAATACCTACAGCAAAAGCGTTTATAACAGAATTAGAGATGTACTATTAACAATTGCACAATGCTTTTGATCATTATTAAGAATAGGCAATGTACATACTATAAGATTATTTTATTATGATTTTACTATAAGCTATTTTACTGATTGTTTAAAAAACAGAAATTTATAGTATAATCGATTACATCGGAATCTAAACTATTAGGGATCCAAGAATACACTAAGATTATACAATTTATACTTTTGAAATATTAATTCGAATCTAGTTGGCATGATATGCTAATACATTCTAAAAATGACTTTCAATTAAGATATCATTATAGCCCCTGTTATTTAAATATTATACAGAGTATGAAGCATTTGTAAATGTAACTTGTTGAAACACGTAGATATACTCTGTTTCATGATTACTGTAATAAAATGAGATATTTAACCTGTATAAACTTTCAAAGCGGTAAATCAATGTGAAAAAGCCACCTAACCGTATTTTACTGAGAGAGCATTGACTAACTATTACGTTTCATATTGGAGAGTATAAATTAATCCTTCAGTTTAAGAATTTCTATCCTAGCTACGACAGTATGATTTATCTTTGACAATGGTAAACAGTTAATAATTTTATAAAAATATTATGATATTATAATTCACTCGGGATTGCTAAACTGATTAAGATAGATAGCTAAATTTATAACTGTTTCCTCATTAATAAGTCATATCGGAGCGAAAAACGTAACAATAAACGAATAACTTGTTGCTGCCTTAATTTAAACTAAAGCCTTTTCGTATACTTCACGGTCTCATTAATTAAATTAAACGATAAGATACTTGACATCTTTTAATAAAATTTAAATCCAAAGAAAATGTCAGTAGATAGTAACAGCCTTACTACAATTTAATTTATTAGGAGTCTAATGTTAACGGAGGATAAGAACTAACTATTAACAGAAAGACCTCACTTTATATACAACTGGTAAACATCACCTGCCATCTTACAAGTTACTACAGCTTCCTAATTAATGGTGTAGGAGCTTCTACTAACACCATAGTGTCTTATATTATCGTCTATCTTTCCAAATACGGTATAGATAACAACAACTGATTACATTGTTCATGTACTTTTAGTCGACAATACTATTATAATCATCATTTTAGATAAGATATCCCTACTAATATAGGATCTCCTATATTAACGTTAACAGCTATTTAAATTAATTAATCTCGCTAGCGTTACACATCTTGATTACGTATTGATTACAGCGAACTGAATAATGTAAAATAATCTATTAAGTTTTATCATAGTATTGCACCGTAGGTAAAGATAAGGTGCACTACTGCTTACAAAGAAAAAGAATAAATAAATAGATAAAATTTACCTAATTGGTATATTTCCTACTAATCAATCATGGAATCTCTTTCTAAAATCATTGTGCTGTACAGTATAAAACCCCATGATATTTTTATTGTATCATTATATATTGTCTGATGAATGTGATTTGAAGATATAGTTTACGTTATACTAAGATATCTTGTCAGAATTATGCCTTCTATCAATAGCTAGCACATCGTTAAGACTCATTCATGATTACAGACTATGGGGCGGCTAGGAAACTAAATAATAACATTTCCTTCTTTTGTGAACTGTTTGCACCCGCATATACGTGTCTTTGAATGACAATTACATGACTGATCAGTTAGATTTACTTAAATAAACCCTGGGTGGCTATGGCAATTATAGGCGACAATGCTAGGCTGTATTAACAACCGATAACTTACATGTTATAATGCGTAAAAATATATACAATAAAAGTATGTGTAAATATAAGTCTGCAAAGTGCATTAAATACTATTCAAATTAAAACGACTTTATAAACGTAGAATATGAACATACTACAGACGATTGTTTAGTATACAACGCAAATTTATTTATACAATCAACAATGATACTTATGTTACTGAATGTCAAAGATTGCATGATTTAATAATGTCAAACAATCAATTTTGAGTAGTGCAGCCTTACCACAATGTCCAGTACTTGTATAACTACAAATGCAAACGTCCGCAATGATGAGAATATTAGGAAAGGCACTTCGTAGTTTACGAATAGCTTGCATTGCTGGGGCATTTTCCGAGTCAGCATTTGAACCACGAACATCCTGTATCATTCCAAACGAAAAGACTGATCAAAATTATAGCTATTTGGTTGTATAATATCCCTTAGATTTCTTGGCGCAGGGAAAACTGTTACAATTTGTGCGCGATCAAGCACATGTTAAAGATAGAAATAAAGCTTGGGCATTACGATGCTGAACTAGGTGGGAGTTACCTTGGATAGGTTTTGTAAAACGCCGAAGATTAACACTGATGTTAAACCTTTATCAACTAAGGGTCCTACATGAGCTTCTAGGCGATTACAACCATAACTATATAGAAAATGGGTGCACAAGTTAGATTACATAGAGTTGATGATATCCTACAAAATGATCTTCTGATCTGATATTGAGATTAATAGACAAGTTGTAGCTTGATGAATGTAAATACGGAGGTTCTTTAATCGCAATTAGATACCACAACAGAAATTCGAATAATATAAGATGATCTGTAACTTTGACTTCAAGTTTTTCCTCTCATTTTACCGTGTTAAAGCAGGAAGAGCTTCTAATGGTTCTTCAACATCGGGTTTGTCACTAAATAATTGAAAGTAAAAGATATATCACAAGTACAGCAAATATAAATGCGTCATATTTGGATCAATGAGTTAACAATTAGTCCTAATATATTTTCAACAGAAGTGCTATACTGAAAATATGAGCAAAAACTATCATTAAGATAGTTATAATCAAGATTTCAGTTAACTTACTGGACAAGAATAGGATATACAAAATTTTCTTTGGTTAAAACAGCTTCGGTAGATTGCCAATTTCGTAACACTTGGTGTCGATAGGAACAAAATAAAGTGCTGCGTTTCGCCATCTGCAGTATAATTTTCGAGTATAATATTTCAATACATCAATTACAAAAATGATCATTAACTGCATAAAAGATATCTTGTAATACTAACAAGCCTGTTATTTGAATGTCTGATAGCGTACAAAAAGATTGCCAATCTTATCAAACGATAAATGCTGGAAGAATCAGTTTTGGTCACTCTTGATTCGATAGCCGCTGCGATATCACTAAGAGTGATGTATAATGTACTTTATTGAGGTAAATGATCAGGATTGCTACCTTAAAAGCGTAAGAAGACAATGAAAAGGCGGAAAGCGTCTATTTAACAGGGAAATAGTGACAAAAACGGATAGAAATTGATTTCTAAGTTGCTCAACTTGTAAAAGGAACTGAGTACGATAGTTAACTGTTTGAACTTTTATACTTGGTTACGGTAACAAACTAAAGCTTGAATTATTAATAGAAGAGCAGTCGCCAGCGATGCGTAATTATTACTAGTCAGTTTATTAAATAGATTATAAATTGTATTCAAACAAATGGCTTTTAATAATTTTTATTACGTCTAAGTTTTATGTTGTTCACAGTATGCAGTGTGATTTTATTGGTTAAAACTAAACGGATTATTGACTAGGGTTAACACCCGTAGTGCGTTATTGTACCGATTAGAACACCTAACGGCCACAATTGCCTGTTGATGCTCTAAATTCATTTGATCTCAATTTTTAGTGCTATAATAAGCTAGGCAAGATCAAAACATTTGATTTTATGAATGTTATATATGTACATGATATAGAACAATTACTAAATGACTGTTTGTTAATGCTATTGTGATCACATTTGTAAATGTATTTGAATGGTCTACGGTCAAATGCAGTAGCTTAATAAAATTGATCTAAATTTTCCGTTAGTTAGTTTTACTTGACTGCCACGAATTTGAAATATTTCTACTTTCTACCGGTAGCCTCATGCATAATTCTACTAATTGGAACTATCTTAATTATCAGAATCTATTTGTTATTGGAATAGATACGAAATTCAGTCATCCATTTTTGCCCACTATCACTATAAACTAATGTGGTACTACATTGTTTGCGTGAATACTGATTGCGTAGCGTATCAATATATAGCAAAGTTATGAGAACGACAGAATTATAGCTGTTATACTGTTCTACTGCAACAGAATATAAATACGGATGGGTTTCTTAATTTACCTTTTTGAATTTTAGGAGCTTCTAATGCTAAAAATGTCAATTTTTGTCTTGTAGCTCGAATGGATGAATTATTTTGTTATCATCTCGATCGGTAATTCTCATACGTTTGAAGTCCTTGCAAATAATTAAATAAAATCAAAGATACAGTAGTGCCGTACATTATTATTATCATATTTAAAGCGATAAGAGCCTATTTCCATGACAATATCTTAATGATGTTATAAGATATAACAATAACGTTAATTGTTGATGTATTTTTTATCTGAATATACAGTGATTCGATAAAATTTATCATAGTTGCTAATGAGTAAGTTCTAAGAATTAATTCTTGTCATTATGTTCTATTTAAGATCTTATTTTACAATTTGATGGGAAATTTATAACATTACTTTACTTACACTAGTACAACTGATTCTAATTACATTACTAGGCTTAAAGAACGAGCTAGGAAATGCAAAATATAAACGTTTCCGGAGTATCCTGGTATATTTCAACTTCTAATAGTTATAAATGAAAGCAGTTTGGTATAAGATCAGGTCGTAATTGGATCGTTATCGTAGATGATAGCAACTAGATATTCTGCTGAATTACATTAACGCATTTATTTTCATAAATTTGAAAAGTTTAACGCCTGATGATTTAAGAACAACATTATTCGATCAGACAATCTAAAAAAACAATTATCGTTTCATCTTAGTTAAAGTATCATGCATTATTTAAATGGTCAATATGAACCTGGTGAAAGCTACTAACAGTAAGTAAACACTTATTTTTATATTGTTTGCTATAACTTCCAACAATCCAATATTTATGTTGATATCTCATGTTGACTTACATTATCTCAATATTTTAAGATCATAAGTTAGACGTCACTAATCAGATTTCATTCACGGACAATACACTCAACATATTGTTGACTAATTTCAAGCTCGATCGTACACCATTCATCATATAAGGATTGCATTGGTCTGTATTTTTATGAATAATTTCAAAGGAACCTATCGGTAGATTTCCATGATTTATAAATTAGGAACAGGTCATACAAAGTTACTATCAATTCTTCAAGTAAATTGCAAGGAATATTTATTTCGTCCAATATAGTATTTGTTCAGTCTAACTGTGGAGACCTATTGATGTTTTTTGATCGATAAGATAATTTTGCCAAATTTATTGAAAGAATTTATTAACTACTGCAGGATCAACAATGACTAATGCAAGATAAAGATTTCGATTTCATGACGATAGAGCTATCTTACATTGTTTCATCATTTCATTATCTCAGAACTGAGAGAGGTCGCTGACTATAGACAAGATTGTCTATATTCAGATGATGGTAATAATTACTATGTTTGTAAAAGAGAATAATATTGAACCACCATCGAAACCATTGCTTCATTAGGTTTCCCAGGGGAGTTGGCTTTACGATAGGCTATACACTTATACTATATTTTTCAATGCGGAACCTCAGGCTACTAAATGATAATCAGATTGCACCACATAATGTGGACGATCCTTCAAAATTTTGATTTCATAGCGTTAAGGATAAAATGTGAGATTGACGTACACATGATAGTCAACAGGTCATGTGGTCGAAAGAACAATGCAAGTAAATTTATAGCAATAACTCCCTACGATTTAATCAAATAATTAGTTATTACAGTATCATGCATTCTTATATAAAACTCATACGCACAATAATTTGAAGCTTTCATTCAGTTAAATTTCAATAATATTTACTAGCATATTGTAATTACAATAACTGCGGTAACATTGGAAAATAGTTAATATGAATGTTATTACATTGACATGAAATACACATTGAACTTTAGCTAATTTTTGGAGACTTTAGTTGAAGCATTTCAAGAGTTTGCATAAATTCATATGAAGGAGATGCTACTATAGCGAGATTTATAACTTTACCACTTGCTGGCCATTTTGAAATAGTTACTTTTCTAAGATGTAAATGCATTTTCAAAGTGTTAGTATTTCCACCAATTAAATTCAAGGCTTGACCTATTTTAGGGCTGACAACCTATGGCAGAAAATATGAACAGGAGCTATTTGAAAGGAAAAGATTAAACGAAATAATAATTTCGAGTAGCTCTTACTTGATTATGACCGATTTTTTTCGAAGAGTATTGATGATCACCTAATACAGGGCAACCAAGCGCATCTGCTGCATGCACACGTATTTGTTTTTTATAGTACGTTTTAGTTTCAAATTCTATCAGTGCGCAGCCTATTTCACTTTTAGAGAGGACCTTATAGTTTGTAGAAGCAAGCCTGACCCTACCGCCATATTTGTATGCTATTTCCTAAGAGAAAGGTAAGATTGGTATATTAAAGAATCAGCAAGAGCTTCATTACATAATAATGTAGTCTTACGTAACATCATATCATAACATATCTTAGTATTCATTCCCTACAAGTGAAACAACAAACGAACTATACAGTTAATAACCTGCTTTGATGCACCTTCATCTTGCATTTTTAGTTTTACCTATAATTGAAGCAAAGTTTGATTTGCTTAAGCAGTCTTGGTAAGCGTACGCTTATTTTTTTCCTTAAATCATTACTGAACAGTTGAAGTATTTAATGATAACTGCATAATCTTTTACTGGCACAGATATTTAAATGCACACCATTATATAAAATTGAAACCAACCCTTTTCAATGTTTTATCTTCTACTATTGGTATATCGATAGTTCCTAACAGTAAAAAATGTTATTTTTAGTATAATTTTCTAACGGATGAGAAATTGGGGTATACTTTCCGATTTAGAAATTCAGATACTAATTTGTAGTATTATAAATGGAAAAAGGGCATTTAAAATCACACTGAGTTAGTAATTCAGTGAAACCTTTTATTGCTTTGGGAATGCCCACGGTGATAGCCCTGAAGAAATAAAGATAAGAATTAAAAGGTAGAACTAGAAGTAATAATTGGAAGGTAATAATGAAGTAGATAACGCGAAATAGTCACTTTTAAGGCTTTAAAATGCCTATACAAAAGTAATTTAAATCATATATAGTTACCAATATCGCTGATAGATTTTACCATTTATGAAGGATTTCTGAATTCTTTCGCTTACTTCTTTGTCTCTATTGAATATGTGCAGATATATAGATGTATATATTAGAAAGTCAATTAAGAGTAAGGAAGGATACGACAAAATTTAATTTTATAACTAATTTTTACTTCGAGCCAATAAGAATTCCGGTACAATTCCTATTCAGTCGAGGGAAAAAGAAATTTTATCATGTTTAATTTAACCTTATTGAAATGTACTGTATCTAGTGAATACTAACAGTATCGAATCGGATTTAAGTATATTAATGATAAAAAGTTATAGAATGAGCCAATCTATTGCAATCATTAGTATGAAGAACTGATACGATACTCCTTAAAATATATATATATTACTGACCATACAAAACATGAATATAACAACTATAAGAAAATTTGCATGCGTACCTATCCAAGACATGAGAAAGGTATACTGGTTGGCTATCATCATCGAGATTTAATTCTCTATAGATAGAATGACAGTTATATCCGATACCAGGATTATCTAAATGCGTGAAGAACGTTAGATGTTAGCAAGCATGAAGTTGAGACCATTCTGTTATCATCAATGTTAGTTTCTTGGCAGTGTTACAAACGACAGGAAATCATGCTGTAGTTAATACGATTACCATGACTTGCTATACCATAAGGCTTGTTAATTGCAATGACATTGTCTATTGAGGATGATAAAGAAAGAATATGGTTAAGACGAAAATTTATGATGGTTGTATGTTTATTGCAAAGATGTTTAATTCAATGCAGTAGTGAGAAATTTTTGTTCAAAATTTGTAGCCAAGCTGTAAGAATATAAAGTCATTGCGGTACTGAGATACGCAGTAAGATTTTGATATGATGTAGGTTACTTCCATGCATAGGCATTATTCTAAAAGATTTCAATTGGAGAACTTACAGCTATTGACTAGCAGCGTATCTGCTGTCACAACTGGTACCCTTGACGCCGAAGAAAGAGTTCGATAGAACTGGGCCCAAAATACTCGTATATTCGCCATCAGAGTCGGTTTCTAGCTTGAATTTTGATGTCGATAACAGCTGTAGCACTGATATAATAAAATTTGAATACAGCAGCTAGAGCGTAAGGAATCAATCAATTAACATTATAACCTCCTAGACAGCAATGCAAGCTGCACTACTTTGAGCTGCAGGACCTTGCGATAATTTTACATTCATAGTTGCATACAAGTTCTATTCAACACAGTAAGTGACTGCCATGACGGTTAGTTTAATTTTACTGTATGTGTGTTCGTGGACCGGCATTACGATCTCACAAACAGGCAAGGATTGAAGACCTATTACAAGCAGCAAATACTGTACTACTGCACCGATCATTAGCTAGCCTTCCTTCCTACTCATCCACTCCTATTACCTTTGGTATTCGTAGCAGAAATGGATACGGACGTGTCAATAAGCGTTTGAAATTTCTATAGCCTGCAAAATATACTCTCGTTCAAGTCTTACGCTTTAGCTTTTTATTTCACGTACAATAATTTGGAAATTCAGTGATCTTCCTCATCACTTTGCCTTAATGGCTTACCTGGCGTGTTTTGCTTGTGCCACCGTTGAAGCCGAGCAACGTCTACAGTATTGGTCTATCGCGATCTCTGGCCAAGACCGTAGCTTACACAGGCTTTGTATTAAGATCTACAGTCCAATGAGAACAGTACATACTGTACAGCATGGTACTGTGCACTGTACAGGACCATGTTGATAACACAGTACTGCGCAGCCTCGTGCCTCAAGCAGCTCTAGGCAAAACTGTAGTACGCTTACAGTACACTAGCCCCAAAATGCAAATACTGTATAATACATTCATTGACTGTACTCAGTCATGGACTACTAAATGATTTAGTAGTGCACGACGAAGTAATTTAGCAGTCCATGGCTCAGTCAATTTTAGCCATAAGACTTCTAAAATAGAAAAGAAAAATGCTTCCAAATCCCTGCTACAGCTACAGTACATGACAGTATCTTCCAGTATACTGTAGCGTACTGTACAGTACACTCTGTTCAGCAGAGGGTTTGGTCCGACCACCAGACGGACAGAAGTCAATCAATTGCCAAGCTGCCTCTTCCTGCTGGTGCGGTCTAGCCAGGTAAAACTATGTAAAATGACCAGCAAATAGTTTCTATTTTCAGTAGTAAACAACAGTTGGATGTCCCCATGGTGATCCTGGACACAAGATCATACTACTGATCTGTGGTATACCGATACATCGACAGTACAGTTTGCCTGGAAATGGATTGGCTTCATTAACTGTAAGAGGAACACCGACAAGATTTTACATCATCAACCAAGAACAGACGTTCAATATACTGTGCTTTAGTCATAAATGTGCCATAGATTACTCCGCTGCACTCGTAGCTGCAGTATACTGTAATCTCAATGAACAGGAATCAATTAAAATAGTATTAAAAAGAAAGTATACGCGTGTTTATAAAGTCTTTCACTTGGGATACTAGATCTCGGTAAATTATACGTCAATTACTTCCAGTAAGTACTAGTTAGGATGTATATGCTATGCAATCATGAATGCCGTTGAACCTGATAGTACAGTATAGTCAGTTCTCTTGAATCATACTAATCTTTCATGTAATTCAATCGCGATTGTTGTTCACTGGCTCTACAATATGTTGTTGGTAGCCTTAATAATGATGCATTATAATTGCTACAAGTTAGATATCATCAGCATACCTATCGAATCAACCTATAATTGCTAGGATGGAAGTGATCAAATCGCAGCCAAGCTGGAGTGGTACTTTTGGTGGGCGTGATGTAATCAGAAAAGCTGAGATTGATGTCGATGCATATGTGAAGCACACGGTATCGTTATCGTTAAGGTGGTCTTTTGTACCATTTTGCGGTTGCATCTTTTGTCAGCCTTGTCGTTATTGCTGTTGGGCTGAAGATGAAGCTCGAATTCAAGCCAATGCTATCAGCTTAATCTTATATGAGCAAGAGTTAGAATTAACCTTGAAGAGTCATAAAATACGATGCCCCTGCGTTGGAGCAGCCCCACCGCCGCGTCCTTACACAATATATGGTACTGTATTTGCGTTATCTAAATTGCAGTACTACAATACTTCCTAATTATCACTATCTTTTGCGGGACTTTTATCTATGGTATATTATTTATAGAATTAGTGCTAAGAATGCGTACTGTACTCATAATAACAGCATTTATATACTCGTATACTGTACTTATACATGGGACTCAAGCAAGATCCAAAATCTCCTGATACAAGTTGCAACTATAATTAATTAAGCTAACTAATATGGTAGCGAGATATATGTACAGTATTGAGACCTACGGGTAAATATATACGATCACATTCTTGCATTTCGATAAATCTAGAAATGTGCGATCTTTACAACGGCTTTCTTGAATATACTAATTTGTCATTGATTTTATTTTTTATAAACTAAATAGCAACATGTGGAATAGTTCCCGATGTAACCACTACTGTCCCATTGTCTCAAATTCAAAAAATAGCTTTAACTGAATTTCAAGGAATCGAATTGCTACAATTTGTTTATATAACTGGACAATCATCACGACCAAATCAACCTGCGCCATGTGCTAGTATCACTGTTAGATGCGTGAAAAATGCAAAAAGTTTTAGAGATGCGGTATTACAACAACAAAGGATGATTTCCGAAAAAAAGTAGTAGATGTTTAGGCGAAGTTAAACAGATACTAAGAAGTAACATTTATTGTAAAAAAAATTCGATAATTGAATGGGTATCGTCTGGATATGCTTATAGCAATTTTGAATGTCTTGAAGATAAATTATAGTATTTTGTGATAGTACCATAGGAGTGTTAATTGTCATGTATGATTACTAACACTGCATATGAGTACAATCCTATACATTTCATTTCTGCTAGGAAAACGCCTTATTTTATAGCCATTAATAGGATTTTTAACATTGGTTAAAGTGCAGAATTTATGGATAAAGTTTATTTTAAAAATAAATATTTAGAATATTACATATGTTTCAACTAGCGTGCATATCAGTGCAAGCGCATCATTCTACACGATTTTTAGAAGATTCAAGATAATGTAGTTTACTCCTATGTAAACTTTGTAAAGTTTCTATTTCATTTTAAATAGGTAAATTAATATTTGATTCGCTAGTTCTACAAGTGACATAGTCCATTAAATTGCGCTTTGAAATTTTATGCAAGTATGATATTAAATAACGGTGAACAAAAAATATACCTACCTTTGAGCTAAAATAGGTATTACAAACCGAGGTTTGCCACAATGAAATTATAACTACGATCGTTTCGTTGAGCTTCTCTTTTCAACATTGACATACAGTACATCTCAAATACAAACGATCTCTAATCTGTCGGTATTTGCAATAACTACGCTCCTCTCTTAGAGTAAACTCTAAAGCCCAAATTTATTAGCTAATTAATTAATATACAGTGCATAATACAGCTACGCAAGTATCGACTATCATTACTAAGATGTCGGTATGAAAACATACTGTTATCCCTAAAAATATGTATGAAATTTTAGATAAGAGTTTTACCTATGTTTAGCAAGCTACACTTTCTATTGAAATAAGATAACATTCTCTATAAAAAATCGCTTCGTGATAAGAATCTATCTCAATAACTAGAGATCGAAGTACAGCATTAAGGAGTAACACGTTATTCAATATCAGTTCTTCTATGTATAAATCTTATGGGATATAGGAACTCATATATTATTATATATAGACGAATATGATAAGGCAGAAACTGGCAGTGCACGTGATCGATATAGTCTATAAAGGATATACTTATAATTTTATAAAATTTTGAATAATATCTTAACTTTTAGTACTGCAATTATCCCAGATAAAATTTGTTCATTAGTATTACTTACCTAGAGATAACTATTCTCGTTCGATTACCCTCCTAAACAAATGCAAGCTATGGAGGTGAATCTTAGTCTCGATGCTTTCACAATTTCCTATAAGTAGAAATAACTAGTCATGAAGATTTATTAGATTAATCTGAATTGGTTGATGGATGTGTCAGTTACATATGTTTCAAACCAGAATTTCTTTTAAAATATCTTTGAAAATTCCTGCATCCTTATGCTCTTTTTCAATAAAGCTATGTGAATTAAGTATTGCTAGTGTCGTGCATATAGAAATGAAGATAACAAATCTGGCGAATTATGATTTAATTATTGAGGATCCTGCAAGATATGATGTAGTTATCTAGTATATTTACAGTACATGTTATACACTCTAACTTAGTACTGTTACGAATACGCACGGATATCATCCTGCTGTACAACATAAGATAGTATAACTGTATTGGCACTTGTTATCATAAGAGAACTATATCCAGGCAGGTGATCTGATTCATCGGTAACCAACCAGTAGCCGAAAGACTACATACTTATAACTGTCCACATCATACAATCAGTCATTCAACAGTTCTAGTGTTAAGAGATACTCTCTAAGTAGCGAAGTTCTTGAGATATCTATTGTGGAGAACATTCGTGGTATATAACCTCTTACATTGCTAAGAGTAATTCTAATTCTATTTGGATAGAAGTTAATAAACGTAACTTGTAGAGATTACACGAATAATACTTCATCCCTGAGTCTTTACCGGAGTACCTCAACGTCAAGTCACATATACGTATATTCATCAAGGGCTACATTTATAACATACGATCGAAAAAATTTTAATCTAACTTATAGATTAGCAAGTTGTTTGGGACTTAAGATTTAGACATGGATAATTATTGCTGCTATCGTAGCGTGCAATTATATTTACCATCAAGTTATGACATCCAATATAGCAATTTGACCATCAAAAGGCCCGTCATAATTTCAGCTGGCTATGATTGTTTGAGCAGTTCGATGTCATTCTTAGGGAATTATTTACAAAATACCTTTATGATGGTATAATTACAATGGAAAAGCCGATTTGATTGATATAACGAAGTAAATGTAAAAGGAATATCACTCTATAATTGAATTTAAATCGAGATGTTAGCCTGATTAATATCAGCAGTAAGACTCTTTTAAAAATATATAAATTAGTACAGTACAATTCAACTTTCAGCAGATACACAAGTTAAAAATGTACTTTAATCTAATCTTAAATTATAGAGAACTAATATTGCCGTAATTATCTGTTTCAGTAGATAAACCGCGAACTAAGAGTTAGACAATTCATTTACTGTATAGAGTATCTAATTTTACACATGTTCATGTACATTTACTACTTTGGTTACTGTCTCCTTAGCTGTGATTTACAACGAACAGTTTCTCAAAAAGTATGGATTATTGCATAATCGTAGTAGCAAGATTATAAATCTTCACTGTCATTTAAATGCTGATATTTTACGATGACATTGTTTGAGACAATATAAAATGAGACAAAATACGGTACACATATGTTAACATATAAACATACAAATAATAATAAAAAAAAAATACGAAAATGAATTTATATTGTTTTTAATGGTCATTAAGAAACGAAATTGAGCAGGTGATATTGATCTCATTGATAAATGAATATGGTTGCAGCTGAGAGCATCATTAAAACTACATATAATATAGGCGTTAGGTATCGCATTTTGTTAGATGCTGAAGCACTTTGTATTCATTTTATAACAATTTTTATTATAGCATAATATACAGTAGAACTGTTTATTGTCAAGACCGAAATTAAATTGAACAAGTTTTGTACAAAGAAACTTCTATACCTCAATGTAAGTCACATTGTAAAGATGAGAACACCATCTACAGATTCATTTATATCTTCTGGAAGAAGATTTTGAAGGACACTATAACTACGCCAATAACCAATTTCAATTGAAAGCTTAGGTAAGTACCATAACAAAATTTAAAGTTTTATTCATTCAGCTTCTATACTGCTCGTATTTCCTTATTAATAAAATTAATAATTAATGATCAAGACAGAAACTGATAGATGAATATATTCATTGAATTATCAGAGATTTTAAGGTTGTACAGTAGCCTTGCCGTTATGTTCGATAACCGTAATATATGCATTCAAATAGATATCAGAACACATTCTGTAATCAATAACTAGACCGGAAAACGCATATTTTAGGCAAGATATTACGTACAATCTAATCGCTAGATCATTTTATAACTACCGCTTTTTCTCTTAATTGATTTATGATCAGAAAGTATAATAGTTGTAATTAGCCCACGTTCAAATATAAAGTAAGATTCTGAAATTATTTTAAATGCTACGGTATGTTTTCAGAATTAATGTGAGTACTTTTTAACTTCTGCATATCAATGTGGTATAATTAATAATAAGAAGAAAATATGTCTGCTGTTAATAATACGAGATACACCAACTAATTTTACTTTTCATTAAAATACAGTAGTTGATGTACGAAATGCTTGCTTTTATCTACGACTCCTATTGACTAAAGAAAGAATTATTGAATCAAAAAGGCATTGATTTTAATTTAAAATTACTCCATTATAACTATTTATAAAGGATTTGACATCCTATTTACCCCTTAGCGTAAGATAATTAAAATTTTCCATTAGTGTAAGTTGTACAAGTGGATGTGTATTAATAAAGGAAATAGATATCATTTACTGATAGAATAATATTAATAATTTTTATATCCAAGTGTAGATTGAGTGAAATATCCATTATCATCATGATATGCAAGCGATCCAAGTAGGTAACTTGATAAATAATTAATACTTGCATGGTCTGAATAGTTGGATAATGGATATATAAAGTGCCGATTATTCTAACTAAAGAGGATATGACACGAAAAAATAGAGGCATTATTCAATCTCGTTGACGTCTGATTTTTTCTAATAAATAATTTGATCATGAGTTGATAATGTATGATATATGTTAAAGTAATTAGTGAAACAGATTACGTATTGGCTGTTTTAATTACTATTAAGAATTGCATTCAATGGAATGGATGAGAGAAAGAGTGTATGCGTTTGTTGGGCTACGAATAGTACTGTACTGTCCGTTATTTTGCTGTCGATCAAATCAATAATTGTTGTCTAGTTCCTCACATCCGTATCAGCTAGTGTAGTTTTTGTTCTACTAAACAATGCCAACCGTTTCTCCAAATCTATCAATATAAATAAGGGTGGATTTGATTTAACGATAAGTTGAATCTATTGTCGTTGTCCAAGGCCTTCTATAGTAAAATTGCCATCATTACAGGCCATTTTCTAATTGGCATAATAATTTTTGATAGCAACATATTATTGTTATTATTCAATTTGCCCGAATTGCCCAATTTTTAAGTTCATTTTCGTCGTGGTTACATCATTTCATTTCCCTAACAAAAATTGACGAGTAAAAGTATGCGCTTACTACTATAGGTTTTGTCCATTCGTAAACAGCCATGGCTATGACGGAGACGTGATAGGATGTGAAATTTCTTGGTAGACGTATAGTAAAATAAAAACGAATCATTATTGAACTAATTGGCTGAAGATTGAATTAATTTGGCTATATTTTCAACGTGGGCCATCTATCAAAACTTGTCTGCTTTGGTATCAACCATTACTCAAGTTATACCAGCACCTGCACCTGCTAATTCAATTGCAGGTTAGCAGTAAGTAATTTTTCAATCAAAAAGTTAACTAAAATTTAATTGCAATAACGAAAGCCAAATTTTTTATTGAGTTCTAAAAGTGCTTTCATAAACCGTTACAGTTATTAAAAACATGAATACTGTAGATATTTTTACACCGATGCTATGACAACTCAGGTAGTGAGACGATTTTGTATTCGTGAGTACGATAAAATGCAAATTATTTTTTTTGCCTTACAGTATTCATTACAACGCTACTTACTATAATGAATAGCCAATATCGCTATGCTACTCACCATTTTTATACTACTATTCCATTTCGATTTCTAGTTGAGTAAAGTAATTGTTAAATATACTGTTGGTGTTAAGTAAGATTTACAGGCCAACCACTAAAAACCCTAGAGAAAATTATGAAATTCTTCTCATTCGCATTGTCCATGACAAAATCATCTCATTGATCTTATAACTCACTCTATTATTATACTATCCAATTTGTACTTTAAATTCTAGTTTATGAAAAGAAATGGAGATAATATTTCATACGATCTTTACAATATGGTATAAAGTAGTCGATTACACTTAAGTGATACACTGCGAAAATATACCTTTGTGAGAAATCAGTTTCTTAGTGCGGTGTTAAAACTTAATTTGCATCTTTACCGCGATAGCTAAGGTTGACTGACACTTAATTTAATTAAATTCTTGCCGATGTCTTTAAAAAGGATGCGCTATATCTAAATTGTATAAGTTTATCGGTAGAGAATTGTAATCTCTTCGATGAATTTTCCGTTAAGTGTTATCACAAATTTTAAGCAGATAGTGAATATCTCATTTTTTTCTATTTTCTTGACACTCCTTAATATGATCAACGCTATTAGATGGGCTTACAATTAATTTTCGATTTGTAGCGAATCTATTTAAATCAGAAATTTGATGGAAGAAAGAATACTAAACAAATAGACCAATTTTTATTCTCTATGTCCACATCCACATGCTATGACGCGTTTTCTATGCACGTCCAGTACTAGCATATTTTTATTTGATCTGTGGACTCAAATTGGATTAAAAAGGGTATATTTCAACAAAATAATTATATATTACGCTTGAGTAATAAAATCAATTGAAAGTTAAATTTTTTGCTTATATAAATTGATATTATTGATAACGTAGCATCATAAGCTATCCTATTTAAAAAATTCTATTCCTCGATATGTAAGTGTGAGTTTTAAAGGATATGCTGATCTGGTATCATTAATAAATTCAACTGAAGAATTGATAATTAGTTAATCCGGTGCTAGCAATTTTCTTTCAAGAAGTTCTTTGATAGTAGAAGCTCTGATTTAGTAGAAATCGTTGATGCTTTAAGACTTAAGATTTATATGCCATGTGGACATCGATTGAACTTTTGTAAGCGATAATCGCTGGTGGATGGGATTGCATTATTTAATCGATATCTGATTTCCCTATCACTTCAGTATCTTAGATACCGTAGTATTCGTAGATTAGAACTAGTTTTAAGTTCTATCTTCCTATAAATTAACTAGATAAATTATGAAAGTGGTACATAATCGAGGGAATGCTTTTCAAGACTTGGTTTGAAATCAAATCTTTAGCAAACAATACCAAATCATACAATTTATGAATCTCGTCTAACGCCATAACAAGAGTATATATAGCGTAAAGTAGTTGCAACACCTTAGCTTATACATAGATTTTATCATGATAGAGGTCTATTCTCAATTTCTCATGCTTTTTACGTTAGTGCTCGTTCGTAGAACAGATATTAATTGTGCATTGAATAATAATATAACTATACTTTGACAGTTAATGTGAAATGATATGACAAGTATTGAAGCGATTGAGGTTAAATGAAAGCTAGTGATCATCTTGAAAAATGAATTGAACTACTTTTGATGCGTGAATATGCTTAACTAGCTGATTGGTTTTAAAAATTCTCTCGATCAAAAATGATTGTTTCTTTGTAAGACGAATAGTATAAATGCGCTTTTTCATATGTCGGCTGCTGTCCACAAATACTTTATTTCAAACCAACTACTGCAGGAATCTTTGCGTAAGCTGCAAATTCATTTCGATTACAGAAACGACAAGATTTTATTTTTGGCTGAGATTAGATTTTGAACATATCTGTGTAGCAGTACAATTGATTCCTTAGGATCCATTTTAGGGTCCAATTTAATCACATAAAATTGTTAGTGTATATTTAAATATCAACGATAAAGAGCTATAATGGCTTAAAAACTAAATTCAACATCTTTAATTTTTTTACCCTCTTGTTTTCTACTGTAGCTATCGATGGTACGATACTAACTAAAATCAAATAAGAAACCAAATTAATACAGTTAACCTATATTCAGATCGATAATACAATTTTATATCGCTCAAAACATCATAATTATCCTCCATGCTATAATGAATTGTAATAATTAACTTTGATACTTTATTTTTATAAGATAGAATTTAACATTGCTCGCAGATTAACGAATGCTAACTTAGAAATAGATCATTTCCGAGAGGCTTCGACAGTAATGATGTTGGATATTCTTAGACAGTCCATATACTTGGCAATCAACTTTCCTGTTCATTACAGTACTTGCTTAGCTGCCATCGAATATTTCTTTTGAAATTTTTCCAACATTTAAAGATCTAATTTATCCTATGATTTGTGCTTCCAATTTATGTCAATATGCGATAGTTACTCACATTTGCATTTGACTGTTTAGATAACGATTTCCCTATCATTGTTGCTAGCTATTACTTTAATCCATGAAAAAAATTAATATTTTGATAAACCGCAGTCTAATTGCTGGATAAAATTAAGCGAAGTAATTCATCTTAGTAATACAGCTGTTACAGTGAAAGATCTCCATTCTTCTACGGGCAGTTTTTAATTGTTGCCGTGATGTTATATAAAGTTATAGAAAATAAATTTCTCTTTAATTGATTACATAGGCCAACTGTAAACAATTAATTAGTAGACATCTTGGTGTTGCAAACTGAATGAATGCTTTTTCAAGAATTATAAGCCATGACTTTAACTTTGCCTTGCTGTACGATTGGTCAACAGCCTTTGGCTAAGCCAAAAATTGTCATTGATGAAGAAGGCAAAAGGGTAATTTGCATTGCTAAAATTGATGCCAATATCATACAACGAGCCATGATTAGGCACTCGTGCTACTGGAGTCTGATACCAATTTATGGCTGTTTTGGATTGCAACCTTTGCGTGCCATATGTTGGGCATCTAATGAGAGTCGGTTACAAGCGGAAGCCATCCATTTAATCCTTTATGAAAGCTACCTACAATTAGACGTGGATAGCTATCCTATGTTTTGTACTTGCAGTGGATCCGGACCACCTCCAGATCCTTACAATGAATTTAGTAAGTTAAAGGAACACGATAGCTACAACTGATTCTACGCTGTTTTATAATTAAAAAAAGAGTTAATATTCCTGTAGATGATAAAATCTCTTTTCAGACCGATAGGATATAAATCAGGCGAATTTAAGTCTTAGCTTAGGCATTATATTGCGGCATAATGCTAGTATTTATTTTACTCGTAACTGAGCAATTTTTTACTTTTTAAAATTGCTAGCATTTTGTTCAATCTTGCCAGCTACATCAACTGCGATTGACTTGAGTGATATTAAAGATATCAAAATAGAAAGCTTTATGGGTTGCCAAAGGTTACATATTGTTGGCCACGTTAATGAAGAGCGTGTTTCTATCATTGTGCTAGGAATTGAAAACCTTAATGAATTTACACAATTATTAGAAATTTATACGGTCAAATGTAAAGATAGAAACAATTCTATGACCAATGGCAACAATAATAGCCAAAATAATCATCGTATTACAAAAAGTTATACCGTCGAAAGTTGCTTAAATGGTTATCATTCTTCATCACGAGGTTCTCTAGCGGTCAATACTAGCATAACAGTTGGGCTGGAAAATCCTTTACGAGTTGTAAAAGAAAATGAATTTAAGGAAAAGCCTAGTACTAGCGAGATATCACCAATTGCTTTATGAATAGTAATATATCCAAGCTACTAATTATATCATTCGTTACACACAACAGAATTCTCATCAAAAATTAAGTATTTTCTAACTTCTTACAATAAAGGAAATTTTGAAAGGGTTAATGAAATTTTAATCCTTTCTTAATGCGTATTTGATTTAAATTAAGATAATATAACTATTTTAAGGCAAAGAGTAAGCGTGATTATTTACTTAAAACCTATACACTCAATTTAGCTCATCAGTATACTAGCAATAAGTCTGTAGCACTGATCTAATGGCAAGAAAAGTATAAAAATTATCCATAATGGTACCAACTTCAATGGTTCTAGTAATAATAGAAATACTCTATATCGTCGGCTACACCTAGACTTCGTACTATCAAGCAGCCATGTATTAGGTTGAGAAGATAAAACTGCATAAGTAAATTTTCAAAATAAGACTAGAATTTATGCTAGTTAAAGTTGGACAATACATGAAACTGCTTTGACTACAATATTTCTAAAGTGTAACTGTTGCCTTTAAAACTTAAATTCAGACTTTGATCGAAATCGTAATAAAACTAAAAGTTGGTTCGCTATTTATGAAGACATTGTCAACGTCATTGCGATTACCGTGGTGTTAATACGGTATTCTGCCTTGAGCTATCGATGACTTCGCAGATGATTGTGGAAAACGTAGAACTACTAATCCCTATAATATTAAAGGTATTTGTATACGTATTTTGTTAATATTTGTGTAACCAGTCTAATTTGTTATAGACCAATGGATGCTATGATTATTTCAACAATGTGATGAAGGATTATTTACGGTACATTGGTTGAGTGATTGAATAACGACTTATATCGTTTTTTCTAATGGTGCATTTCATATGCTTGTAGCGAAATCTATGAATAATTCACACTCGTGTAGTAATATAGATAATCAAGGCCACTTTACCTACATATAAGTTAGTGATCAAAACCTGATCGCTTTAATAGTATTGCGAAGTAAAATAGCTAGTAAAACTATATCGAAAATTAATTATGATTACTTCTAATTGATAAATAATACTCAAATAATTAAGATTTAAATTGGAAAATTTTAAAATACCTGATATACCAGTAATCATAATTTAGGGGTTTAATTTAAATTACATAAATTAAGAGGAAGATTGCTTCATTCTATAAGAAACTGTAGCAGATTAATGTCTTCGTATGCTCATTACATGAAATTTGCTGATAGTAATCTTGGTATCGTTTACAACAGAAAGCAAATATAGCTGTCGTAACCCAATAAAGGGTATCGTTGTGAAATCTAGCTACTAGCAAAAATGGTTTTTAGTTTCATTAACAATTTGTTTAAAAGTAGCGAGAAGTTCATGAAATTGTGAATATAGCGAATTTCTTACCTAATTCTTTAGTACAGTAATTGAGATACGGTCTGAATGCATTTGATCTATAGCTGTTAGCAATATATAACAGTTCATTGCTACTATCTATTACTAGTCGTTGCTATAAAGCATACATCGACCAGCAATTACCTGAATCTGGCGACCTAATTATGAAATTTTCTGCTTACTGGAGGTACACCGACTAAAGTTCTAAAGATACACCTATGATTAAATTCCTTTAATCAGTAGCAATTCTAAACCAACTGTTGTGATAGATACCGCATTATTATTGCGAGAATGTTCTCACGCATATTCCAGTTCTGCTATTTAATTTTCCTTTAATTTTCTAATATGCGTATCTTTATGTAAGTATATATTAACTGTAAGTATGGCTTCCATACCGTAAATATCTGATATTTACATAGCTTATACAGCATTAATAAAGTTTGGCGATTAGTTGCAAACTACACCTACAATAACAACATTGAATCTTGGTGATACGCTGAATAAAACAGCTTCCGTAATAAACAAACAAATACTACACTACAAAATCATATCTTTACATAAGCAACAGATTTCAACAACGAATACTCTTACTATGGCTAATAAGCGTTAGCTAGAAATTACTACTACATTACACATACTTATTGTAGGAGTAAAATGCTTATTATCTGTTCGAACATCGTTACATTGGTCTTTGAGTATATAAATGATGAATTTCAGCAAGTAATGAAACGTTGATAAATTTGCTACACCATTATGAATTAAGTATTGTCATATTTTGATACAGTATGTTAATTTATAGCATGATAGGCAGTGTTACATGGGCAAGTTTACTCACTTTAATGATATCTATCCAACGGAAAGATATTGATCGAACGCATATGATGGTGTACGCGTAGATGTAGAAAAATATCTTACAATTTGTTTTAGTTTACAACCATTGGAATTACTAAGTCACTATACTAGTTGTTTCAGTTCTAACAAACATTTACGACGATAAAGATATAATTTTCAGCGATTATGCCACTTACTATCGACCACTGATATCGTAATTTAATTTAACCAAATATTTATTTCCTGATATGTAATTCAAGAAGCCTTAAGATTTTACAAATATGATCTGAACCATAAGACTTATAACATTAGTCTGTTTATTATAGTTGGACATAAAACTTGAATTCATATTTATCGCAATTCCAATTTATAAATATATGTTATTGGTACTGATAACGTACAACTAGGAATGCCAAATTAATTAATGCGAATATATAACCTAGCATTGAATTAATTCGGTTTAGGTAACATTGTGCACTAATTCCGTTCAAAACGAAGATAGCGCGGTTATATCTCCTCTTTCCTGTTATAAAACTTAAACCTTATTTCTATTGAACATCATTATTCCCAAATTTCTGTTATGTATAACGATCGTTAATGGTATTAAAGTGCTAAATTTCATTCAGCGTTTAGTAATAAAGTAACCGACTAATTTAACTTTTTGCAAAACAGTTTCTGTAATGTCATATGCATACGGTATAATACAGTAAAGGGTCATTGCAAAGGCCAGCTTTTATGAAGGGCTATTTTTATCTTCTGTATCAATACTGCCTATTTTCTTACGCAGCTGATAATTACGATTAAAAATTGCATAACTATCTTATAATATCCAGTTAATTAATAGACAATTAGATATTAATCTTTAATGTGCATTGTTTTATCATCAAGGGCACGATTTAAAGTTATAATCAAAATAAGAATTGTATGATTCCATTTAACGCCAAATTTTGAAAATAAAATCTGTGTCATGGTATTAATCGTAACTTGTTCGGATTTTTTATTACTTTGTATTTTAAAAGATGTAGCAATTACATTTTTAATGATCGATTAACGACTAATTTTCTGTATTGTTCGTAACAAACTTTCAGTTATTCCACATCGATATAAAATGCACCTGGACCAAAAATATTCTAAATGAGATATAAATATTATATTTTAATCATTTATCTCCCACTTATAAAAAGTGTGACATCAAATCATATTTTAATGGATAAAAATGCACAGTAATATATTTATAGATGTGGCTACATGCTTTAGCTAACAATAAAGAGATATTAAAGTTCGCTGGTAAAGCACACTGGATTTTGACTTGAAAGCGAATCTATGATTAGATTATTGAAAAATGAACTATTCTTTAGACAAAAATATTGAGTTATATTATTTATGTTTCAAATTTATCATGTGTTCGTTTAGAAAAACATTCCAATAATCGATACAATATTTTCTTATTTAAATTAGACTAACAAATAAAGATAAATATATTTACTTTTTATCAGAAGACAGCGAACTGATATTACCGAGTATACCGTATGAATGTGTTGCATAGTAAAATTAAATTTTAATGTATTTACCTATTTTTAATAAAGCTAATGATAATCTTTGAAGAAAATTTCAAATGTCGATAATTGATGAAGGTGTACGATTTATTTATAGTTATTACTGAATTTTGCCAATTCTGAACATCTTATGTTAATAATTCGTAACTATTCCTGAAAATCAGCTCGATAATTTCTTTGAGTAAGAACTATCCAGCGATGGCGTTTTTAGTTTTATTACGGGCGATTTATTAACCATTAGATCATGCCCTTAAATGTTCTATATTCACAATGGACTTATTGAGTGCTCAGTACCCTTGCCAGCATGTCAGTATGGATCGTCTGGCAATAATAAAATTTTTGAGTAAATTGTTTCTAACTGCTGACTATTGTTGACCTAAAGATGATCAGGAAGAATATGATACTACTGCACTAGTATTTAAACATGATAAAATAAAAGACCATAAGTAGGGACAGTAATAAATAGCTTAAATATTAGAACTCTTTTATCAATTAAACATAATATTCTCTTTCTGCAGTGATAATACTATTGCGTCTAAATACCACGGCTGAATTATTCTTAATTACTGAAAGCAATTACTGTACTTGGTAATTTTATTAATTTGAAGCCATATCAGTACACAAAATAAAGGTATTTATATCTGCAAGTTTGTTTGAATGGAACTATCTATAGAATGGTACGCTTCATAAATAAGGCTATAAATAATTCTATTAACTATCCAAATTATATTCCATTTCTATTAAGTTAATAATACCTACAATAATCTTATAGTCTACCGATTGAATTTTTATTACAATTCATCATTTGACGATAGTATTAAAGATTGCATTTAAATTGCTACCATACACATATTCTAAAAATTGGGCCGACGAAAGGTATAGAATATAGCAATAACCAACAAATAAATAAATAATTCATGTGACCAGAAATAATAATAAATCATAACAGGGAGCAACTTCTGATTAAAGTTCAATAAGATTATATTTTCATTCATTTATTCATTCTAACTTTTGATATCAATTTATTATTTTGCGGTTTGTAGTGTATCATTATTACCTTATTGAAAATGTAGTTAGATTTAAATATTAGTGTTATCATTAGAATTGTTTCGAATGTTCTAATCTACGCGCATTTTTTACTATTTCCAGGAAATGGTCTCCAAATAAAAATCATGAAATTAAGATTTCCAATCCAGAAGCAAAACTAGATAAATATAAATAACCTTCCTCTCTTCATTAATTAGTAT